TTTTTTTTACATTCACATGTTGTAAAAGTGGAACAATAAATTAAGGATAATATTTTTTTAGTAAATACTGAACATAAATTATTTCAAAAGTAAATACTAACGTAAAATTGGAAAAAAAAAAGAAGAACCGTGCTATTTTTCATTTATTTACTTAATGTTTTTTTTTGTAAAAAAAGATATCTTTTTGTTGTGTGCTTCTGGGAGAAGTAAACTTTCGGTACGTTTTGGGATGCTGTGGGCGATGAAAGAAACTGTTGGAAAATTTATGGCTATGTTAAAATTTTTTACCCACCTGACCCTCACCCCTGCATGAATATTCTCTCACCTCAATAATAAACAAAATCACAAGTTCACAACACACACACACTCCTCCGTTGGAAAATTGTCACATTATATATATAATTCCTTTATAACAATAAATTAAATTTTCTTATTTTTAATAATTTTATTTTCAGTACTTTTTTTAAAATGGCCACATTATACATATAATTTTTTTCTAATAATAAATTAAATTTATTTACTTTTAATAATTTTATTTTCCTTCTTAAAAAATAGTCACATTATATATATATATCTAATATTAGATATATACTATTTAATAAAATTCATGTCCTTTTAAGTCATTTTACATCCAAACTTACTTTTATATTTATCATCCAAACAAGTTTCAGCTTCTCAAACTGACTTTTTTTCAAAATCCAATCCAAACATAAATCACATTACCTTATCTGACTTTTATCCAATCTGACTTCTGTAAAAATCAGATTGAAAAAAAAGTTACTTCTCTACCGCTAATCCAAACACCCTTAAGTAGTTAGAATTCCTTCCACTAGCATACGCCTGTGCTTTTTTTTTTTTTAATGGTACAAGAGAAGGGTAAAGCCAAGAACATTAAAATACTATATTACTATTTGGAATTAAATCCCAGACTCTCTTTTCCACCTTAAAGTGGAAAATACCCTCCTTTGCAAGGGCATCATTTTATCAGCAACCTTGTTTTGTTATGAATAACCTTTAGGGTTTGTTTGGCTTAATAAGAGGCTCAATGAGAGGAGGGGGGAGGGGAGGGGAGTAAAAAGATTTTAATATTACCTTGTTTGGATTTATAAAAAAAGAGAAGAAGAGAGGAGTTTTAACATTACCTTGTTTGGTTCATCAGGGGAGGAAAAGGAAAAATATTTTGACATAGACAATTTTGCCCTTATTATATTTAAGATTATTTTTTCAAATTTTATAGAATGTTTAATAAAATAGAATTGTAAATAACATTTAATATATTGAGCAATACTTATACCAAAATCTTAATATACTCTAGAATGTGAAGTATTATTGAAAAGAAGATTGAAATAATGTTTAGCCACAACTTGTATTGTATCCCATCTTTGAATAAAATATTTGGTCATGCAAATGAGAGAGTAGAGTCTAGAGATAAGAAGAAAAAGATTTAGGATAGCATAAAAATATTAAAAATAAATGAGTATAATGGTTACACATGACAAAATATTGCCATTTTTCTCCAAATCCTCCCAATTTTGGAGGGGAGGGAAAATTTAAAAAAAAATTTCTTATCTCCTAAAATTTGTGTGTTGCCAAACAAGGAGAAATGATTAACATCCTTCCCCTTAAAATTTTCCCTCCTCTTCTAAAATTTATGTGTTGCCAAACAAGAAGAAATGATTAAAATCCTTCCCCCTTCCTTCCCTCCCCACCAAATCCCTCATACCAAACGCACCCTTAGCTCCCAACGGTATCTTATCAGCTTTTTAATTTGCGTAAACATCAAATTGCAGTTTCACTCACCATTATATCAGTAAGATTCTTTGCATCCGACTCAAGGATAACTGCCTTGAATCGTACGTCCCAAGCAAGATGGTGATCCTCAAATAGGATAACTATTCCACTTTTCTTATGGCATAGCCTAATTGCTCATGGACTAGTCATATGGAAGCCCACATAGAATAACTGACCCATGCACACAAAATTTATATAAATTTATAAGTCAGAAATTTTTCTAAAACTTAGGATAAGGTATAGATTCACAATCTAATTACATATTTACATGCAAGTCTTATTTATAATATAGAGAAAGAGAAATTATTTGTTTCTTTCCATAATATAAATTGCCTTATTAAATTTACTATATAAGTGTATAATATAAATTTTGTAGATTTTATTTTCTTAAAAAGTTATTAAATTTTAAGAAAAAATTAATAAGAGTCAGGTTTTTTTCCTTATTTTATTATGAATAAGATAAAAAGAGTACTACTTCTAGTCCTAAATATAAGAGCTAGATGAGGGGTTTATTTTGATCCTCTTGATTACACATTTTCATTAAGGATTGTTATAATTTATATGATTAAAAAGTTTTAGGGAAACCTATATGCACTTGTGACAAATAACTTAGTAGACTAATATTCTTAATCTATTTAAATCAGTTAAGTAGTTCTTATATTGAGGAGCGGTAGTAGTATATTTAAGTGATGTATAAAAGTCAACATACAAGTTGAGGCTGCAATAACTGCTTCAATGGACAAATTTTAAGAAAGAATTCCACAAAAAAGAGTTGGAAATTATTAAATTTCAAATAAGAAATTTCTATAAGAAATGTGTTGTTATTTGTGAGTTTAGTGTTACCAAAATCTATTGAAGTGTGATTATCATTTGGAATTTCGTAACTTCAAGTTTTTTTTTTTTTGGGTGTGAAATTCTCCCTAAGTTTGATATACACAGTTTTAGTGTTTTAACAAGAAGAAAACATTCGGACCCAAAAATATAATAATAAGATAAGATGGACGGATTGGGAAACCTAGAACCAAATTGTAAGATACAATGGGCTTGAACAAAGACACAGGAAACAGAATGGATAAGAAATAATGCTTTTTTTTGGAGGCGCAAGTGATCTTATCTGAATCAATCATTCAGGTCTTTGTTTTAATTAGATTTCGATAATAATTTTATCTTAAATATATTGCCTATTTATCAACAAAATTAAATTTCAATAAGACGGTTTCACTATTATAACTATGAACTTTAAAAAAAAAAAAATTATATGCTGACTTGTGTATTGCTATTATGAAAACACGAGACACAAACAAATTAACCAGATACTAACAAGAGTTGGTTTGGTTGATAAGGAGTTGACTCATAACCTATAAAGTCGTGAGTTTGAATCCTATTACCAATGTAACAACCTTATTAGTCGGTAATCTGTAAGTACCTTTGTAAGTATTCTTTGAGTCTGGAGGCATGTCTTGGTTCTAGTAAACCCTGAGGAGCCAACTCACCTAAACTTTTGTGTATAAAAAAAACAAATTAACCAAACAATCAAAGCGTAGGACTTACTATTAGGAAAAATCATAATTATCAATAAAATATAAGTTATATTTATCAAATTTTGTTACTATTCATAAGTCATTGATTTCTTTGAAAAGTTGATTTAACTTAAAAGTAATAAATTAAAGAAACCCTTGATCACTGGCAAGATTCAACCCTTGAACTCCCATTCATAAGGAAATTTTTGTGCCATTAAGCCAAAAATATATTAATTAAAAAAAACACTAGTCTAGTCTATTTTATTAGAATCAAGAGTCATTGTTAAAGGAAAAACCTTTTAAAGGAAGGGTCTTCAGCAACTTTTGCTTTTGCCTATCTCTCAATTCTCAAAAGAGAGGCGTGCATATTTGGGTCCCAGCCGTCTGGTGTCCAGTGGATGGGAAAAGGGCAATCCAAAAGGCGGCACCAAAAATAAAACGAAGTTTGCGAAATGATTCATTCATTGTGCTGCTGCCCGTGGGCCCCACTTTACCATTCAACAATTTAGATTTTTTTCCCTCTCGGGTTTGCCGGCAACCATTCTCCTTTTGTCGTTTTTATGACTCGATCAGACAACACGCAATCGTGTTTTGATTTTTTTGGGGGGGGACCCGAAATTGATAAAATTAGAATTTGACTCCATCATGTTTTGGTTCCCAACACAAATTAATAAACTCGTTGGAAGTATAATGCAAGATATTTTATTATTCCAATTCTAAATATAAAACTCATTTTATAATATAAATTATATTATAAAATAAGTCTTATATTTAAAATTAGAAGAGTATAAAATAATTACCAACTTCAAGATGCATAAGACGAGTGACATTATGGGCAAGAAAAAATGGTGCATTTTTTAATTTTTTATGATTTTTCAAAATAAATAAATAATGCACAATTCTATAGTGGTTTCCCTTGAAAGATCATTAAAAAAAATCAAAACAAGATGTTTTTTTCTTATAAACATCAAAATGGTACTTATTTTATGTAGAATTTAATTAAAAAAAACATCTAGGAGGATAAGGCATTTCAAGGGATACTAGAGGGTGGAGTGTTGAGCCCCTTGCACGAAATTATAAAGGGACTTAAAATTTGGGTGTTATTATACTCTTCCGGTCTTTAATATAAAATCTAATTATTGACTTGATTTTGACCCTAAATATAAGACATATTTTTATATTTATTAATTTTTTTTAAATTACTTCTATGAATCTTCCTCAACCATAACCAAGTAGAAGCCGGAAAGAGGATATTAAGAAAAATGGTTATGGTGTTTTAAAAAAAATACGTCATATTTCTTATAATTAACTAACTTATCTAATTTCTTAATCTAATTAAATTAGTTAAATAGGTTTTATATTAAAAACCGGAAGAGTACTACTTTTGGTCCTTGATATAAAAATTAATTTGATATTCAATTTATTATTAAAAATAATAAGATCCTAATTCACTTTTTTTATATTTATTTTTTTTTTCAAGGTAATTCTTATAATATAATAATTGTATATATTAAAAGTCTCATCAAACGGTAATTCTAACTAATACCTTTAATTAGTAAGAATATTTTTTAAAAAGCATGTCATTTTTGTTTTTTCTCCCAGATTTAATATCACAAAAGGACAAAAAGGGGTTTCTCATAAAGTTACGGAAACGTCAATTCCTCTTAGTGATTTTCTGAATTATCTTCTTCACTTCACACACACACATCTCACAGCTTTACTAATCTAACCATGTTCGATCCTTTCACCAACTGCTTCACTTTCCTCCTCCATCACAACTCCGTCACCAGGCCAAAACAAAGAACGCCTAACAGATCGTTGTTCTCTTCCAACTCTTTCAGGGACGACGGCGACGGCGAAGCCATAACCGTGTCTCACCAGTTCAAGCAAGTTTTCAAGCTCATAGACGCTAACGGCGACGGCAAAATATCAGCCTCCGAGCTCAGCGACGTCATCATATGCCTCGAGAGCAAGAAGACGAAGGGATTGGCTGCGAAAGAAGCTGAGGGGATAGTGAGAGTGTTGGATTTCAACGGAGATGGGTTCGTGGACTTGGACGACTTTATGATGGTGGTGATGAGGGAAGAGGAGGAGGAGGAAGAAGAAGAAGAAGAAGAAGAAGACGAAGACGAAGATGAAGAAAGAGATCTGAAGGACGCGTTTCTGATATATGACAGTGATCGGAACGGTCTGATATCGGCGAAGGAACTGAGGAGAGTGATGGTGAATCTGGGGTGGAGGGATTGCAGCATCAGGGACTGCAAGAACATGATCCGAGCGGTTGATCAGAACGGAGATGGATTTGTGGATTTTCATGAGTTTCGATCAATGATGAAGTCTAATTCTGTTATTGGACTTCCCAATCACTGAAACCTGAAAAAAGCTTCTTTTGATCTGTGAGTTTTTGGTCTCCCTTTTCTCTTCATGTTTCTGTTAATTTGGAGTGGCGATCCATAAAGTGGTAGGATTCTCAAATTGGAAGGGAGAAGAAAGAGAGCATATATGTACTATAGTTTCTCTTTTTGCTAAATGTTTTCCCCTTTTGATGATGCTTTTGGTGAAAGATACTCCTCCTCGTATAACTATAGGAACCTGTGTAAAGATATTTTGTTTTCTGCAGTAGATAATTTACCTTTTTTTTATTTGTAATTTGCTTCCTAAATTTTTCTTATTGTACATGTTAAATTAAAGGTGGTTTTTTTTTCTGTAGCAAAATATTAATATGCGTATTTTTTTAAAAAAACAAACTTATGTAAAGGTGAAGTAGCATTCAGTATCCTCTTATCATTTTTCTGTACTCTTATTTACAGTGCATCTAATATTCTAAATCATAAATAATAAGAGTGTTGGATATTAAAAAATAATATGTGCTGGATGCAATAAAACAATAATAGCAAGGTGTTTGATGTATCTAGAAATAACATCATCATATTATATGCTACTTTATAGTTTCTTATATATATAATTAATTTAACTAATTTTTTTTAGTCCTTACAAATTAATTAAATATCTAACTTTTTTTTTGAATAACTGGAGGGAGTATGAGAAGGCCCCGGGAACAAATGTTGAAATGATAAGTTAGTTCGCTTGTTGGCCAGTAACTAATGAGACTTTTATGACAAAATTAATACTTTTAATTATTTTTATTTGTACATGTGAATTAGTTAATAGTTTATTATAATAACGATTAGGGGGGGTATGTCTTCTTATTCAAGCTCTCCTCTTCTCGTGGTAAATTATTTTTTAATTATATGTGAGTTTCATGGAGACATACGTAATTGAGATTTTTTTAAAGAATTTATCTATATCGTTATATGGCTAAATTATATGAACCTTGAATTTTATGCAATGTACAAATAACTTCTCTAACTTTTGAAATATTACAGTAAATTTTCTAAATATTCCTCTGTTCCTATTTATAAAGCACTTTCAACATGTTTCATACAGGTCAAGAAAAACCTTAAACTTCATTAACTCTCATTTAAAATTTAATGACTTTCTAACTTTATTCTTATTTAATACACATTATACCTTATATAAACAAAGTCAACACAATAATAAATGATGGGTAAAATTATATATCCATGCAAAAAACTTCTCTTAGTACCCTATAAATAGAACCAAAAAATACTTCTCTCTCTGTCTTATAAATAGAACCAAAGGAGTAACTCTGTTATGATTAGTTTTGTTAGTTACTTATTCACACATAAGTTAAAACTTGAGTTGTATCAACATGACAACATGTAACTTAAAAGTTTTAAGGATTATGTGCCCACAAAAATAAAATTTAAGGGAATATATAGTTAATGACTAAAGTTTATTCGCACTTGTATGAAAGTTCCGAAAGGTTCATTATAAAGTTATAAAAATTAAGGGAGTTATTTGTACATGATACAAATATCAGGAGAATTTTGTATAATTTAACCTAATAATATATACTACCTCCGATTCTTAATATAAATATAAGACCTTATTTAATTTTTATTTTGATCCTAAATATAAGACCACAATTTACTTTTTCTTTCATATTTATGCATTTTTTTTCATGGTAGTCCTTCTAACAACGATAATTCTAGCCAATACATTTGATTAGCAAGGATATTTTAGGGAAGACAACACCCAATTATTATAAATAACTAACTTAACTTCTTTTTTTAATCTCTTCATATTAGTTAACTAGCTCTTATAATTAGGAATGAAGGTAGCATATTTATATTGGTATTTATATTTTAGAGGTATGTAGGAGGATCCAGTACCAAAAAAAAGAAAAAAGGTTAAGGTGTATCCAACACCCGAAATATTTTTTTGGGTTTATGATCCTAAACTATTTTATAACCCATCAAACACCCTGAAATATTTTTTCATGTGCATCTAGCACCTAAAAATATTTTTTGATGTATCTAGTATCAAGGCAAAAAAAAATATTTCAAGGTGCTGAATGCACCTAAAAAATACTTCAGGGTGTTGGATGTATAACAAAATATTTCGAGGTACTAAATACATATGAAAAAAATATTTTAGGATGCTGCATATATCTTAATCTAAATATAAATAAAAATATAGAAAGGTTATTATTATGATATGTCGTGGTCAAATGAAGTGGCCTATTTGAGGAAAGGTCACTATCTTCTTATCCTTATCATGGCTATAATCATTGAATACGATTCCCAAAGTTTATCTATTGAAATTGAAATGTAACCATTTACTTTGACATTGTTGGTGGACCCATCATTATCTCTTTAGGCCCAAAAGTAAAGCCCGTTATAATTTCACTGAATGGGCCATCCTCATAATTCAATTCGATTTGGGCCCAAAACTTGAACCCTAACCTTTTTGCTTTTTAGAGTTCTCTCCCTCTTATGCAACTTTATTAAGCGTCAACAATATCATGTCACCTAATACACCAGGAAATATGTGTAAAAGCTAACGGGCTATATAATAAGGATGAAAAATGCAACAATTTTTGAAAGTCTTACAATTACTCCATAAATATACTTTAGTATGTCTCCAATCTTAAATTTACATTACAAAATGGATCTTATATTCTTACATTTAAAATAAGAGAAGTACCCTTTTTTTTCTTGAAATTAACATGTGTGTTTTCCTCTGTTTCAAATATAAGACATTTTTAAAAAAATTATTTTGAAAAAACCAATATATATTTTTGATAAAAAAACTATTAAGTATTTTTTAATCTATTTAAATTAGTTGAGTAATATTTATATTAAAAATTGGAGGTATGGTTATATTTAAAATGTAGGTACTCGGGACTGTGTGTGTAAAGATGCAGGGAACAAAGCACCTGAGCAATTATTAGGAGAGATTAATTGAAGTGGAATTTTTATAACACTATAATATATAATATATAATAATAGCAATAGTAACCCTTAAATTTTATACTCGTGCTAGTTGTTTTGACTAGACAGCACAGGGACAAGAAATATATAAATCTGGTACTAAATCTTTCTCACAATCTATGGCTTTTATTAAAGAATAAGTGAAGTTTAAGGATATATACACACACACAAACACACACTCAAAAAAATTAACCACATTTTTTATATCTCAAGTGGCTTAATCCATCTTTCTTTATAAGGCAAATGATCTATAAAAGCAGATCATACGTAATATTATTGTAACACTATCACCATATATATATATATATAGTATCATAAATATATATACACATGTATAAAATATGTTTGTCTGAAATGCAATCATAGTGTTTTCTTTGTTCACATTAATCTATTCTGTTCTTTTAAGTTCTAGACATATCTTCCAAGTATGTTAATTTAAAGGCAAAACCTAATTATTAAATTCGAAACAAAACACTTTTTCATTGATAACTTAAACAACAATGTGGTAAACAATTCCTGTAATTCATGGTTCCAATTAAGTTCATTTTTTTAAGGAAAATAATAATATTATTCCCCTTTTCTCTCATAGATATCAAAACCAATGTCTCATAGCAGCTAGCTAGTGATCTTCTTTTTATTATTTAACTGTGTATTATTAATTATTAATTAGAAGTTTCCTAAGCCACTCCAGCAAAGCACAGTATAATGTATTTAATATAATCACTTGAAATCTTTTGAAATTTTGTAATACAAGTTTCTAATCAAACAATAATTGCACCTCCAAATATGTTGGAACTTAATTCTTTAAGGCTTATGTTAGCTCCTTTTATTTTTCCCTCTGGGCACATCGATCTATATTTACTTTATATTTTAAAATAAAGATTTTGGGAAATCAATCCCACAAATCTAAATATCTGTAAAAAAATAATTCAAATACACGGTGATTTGCTCAGAAATAAGTACAAGATAAAATATTATCGGATTTAGATTAAATTATGTTCCCTTTTATAATGTAATGGTTTCCATGTAACTTTCTGTATGCACACACACACACACATATATATATTATATATATTACGTTTAGCATGGAACTGATGGTTTCGTTTGACATTTTCAAATCAAAGTCCTAATGTTTTTAACAATCTATAGATAAGGACGATCAGAATGCAAGTTTGACTTTTGTCAATTGCGTAAACTAATCCAAATTCAAACCTAAATAAGGTTTTGTGTCTTTTTTCCCCCAATCAATCTGTCTGTATAATGGATCTGATCACTATTCGCTATATAAATTGCATGTCCTAACATGTCGTTTTAATTAATTTTATTATAATTGATAGAAAAATACTCCCTCCCGTTCCATATCTAAGAAAAATTTTTCTTAGTCTTAAATTAGAAGAAAAAGCTACCTTCTTTAATGTGCATTCAAGAGATTCTTCTAATTATACCCCTCAATCCATCATTCAAAATGCATTGTGTTCATGAAAAAAGATTTAAACACAGGATTTTTTTTTTGGGGAGGGAAGGCTATTTTAAAACATAACTAAAAAATAGGAAAAATCATTATGCAATTATGATGAAGAAATGCAATTATTAGAAAGTCTCATCACAAGTAAATAACAAGTTCTAGTACAAGAAATAAAAAACCAAATTACCAACAACTTGTTGGTTGAAGTATTAAGCAGCCACACTACGTAAGGAGGAGAACACAAATTTGAATCACAAGAAGCGTATTTATTGAAAGAGGTAAAAACTGTTTACACTCTAAGTCATGAGAAGAAAAACCTTGATCAAATCAAAAGAAATAAAAACAAGATTCATGTCATTCACTTATCGTTACGATTTTTAGTGATTATATTCTCTGCTTGGCACCTTATGGTGTTGTCCCCAAATAACTTCTTTTTAGATGATTCAACCAAATAACTACTTTTTAACAAATTTTCTTAATGTTGAGGTAGTTGTTTTTTTTCCCTCATTACTGTGTTATATATGTGTGCGCGCAAGCGCACGTGTGAGAGAGATTAGATGAAGCATGGCCTTTAGGTTTTGTGTGGGATCCAACTCTAGGCATTGATCAATATCTTCAATCTTGTTTGTGCTTTTTGATCCTTTTTATAAGGTGGAAATAAAGTATTTTTATCTTATTTATGAATTATGAGTCACATAATTATATTTTTTCACATAAATGTAAAGTTATTAAATTTTGAGATAAAGCTAACAAGTATTTTGGTTTTTTATAATTATTTCTGGGAAATATATCTAAAAAAGCCTTATAAATAAGATGATATAAGGAAT